ATTTATATTTAAATTTCTTTATAAAAAAATCCCATCACCCTCACCATTGCTACCACCACCACCATCACCATCACCACCCTCTTCCCCGCCAAGCTCTATAACCGCCTCCGGAGGCAAATCTCCGAGCTCCTCTCCTCCCCCCCCTGCTGCTGCTGCTGCCGGGGCCGGTTCATTGTCCCCTCCCACAGAGGACACGCTTCGACTCCGCGGATGCCCCGGGGCGGCGGCGGCGGCCGCCGCCGCCGGCCTAGGCCCCATGACGAAAGTGTTGAGGGTCGCCGTGAGAGCCTCTAGATCCCGCGACGGTATCTCCATCGCCAGGCTTGAGCACTTGCGCACGAGCGAACGTCCCTGTCGTCGGGAACGATTGTCATGCCCGGCGGCGGCAGCGGCGGCGGCGGCGGCGGCGGCGGCGGGTATTTAGGGTGTGAGCGAATCGTGCTGTGCCGCGTTATCTCCACAAGAAAATGAGAACAAAATAGTGCTATCCTGATCGGGGCTACACCGGGCTGGTAGCCAGCAAACGTATGGCATGGTACTTGATAGAAACTCCTCAACCCGGTGTAAAACGGGGGGGGGGAGGGGGGGGGGTGTACTCATAGTCGTGCATGCCGTAGTCGTTAGACCATTGACCTCGCATCCCTACAAAGCCGGGACGGAGCACGCCGGGTTCTCACCGGACCAGGCTCTCACATCACCAAGCGCGAAGCGCCGTGAGGTATTCGGCGAGTCGCATGAAGGGTGCGCTGCATCCTGCTAAGGGTGTTCGGCATCTTGTGCTTACTTCCTTGCGTTCGGATGACAGCTGCGTATGACTTAATTTATTTTCTGGTGCTTTCACTTCCAGAGACAGTTGTAAGCACTGTGTAACTGCTTCGAGGATTCTTGACCATTTTAACACAACGTGATGCGATCATCCCCCTTGCGCGGAGTGAGGTTCTCCACCCCGCACAACATGATCTACTCCACCACCATTCATGGTTACCGCCAAAATAAAAACAGAGGGAAAACAAAAAACGGTAACCTGGTTGCCGAGTTCACGAAGTGAATTGGCTTGTTTTACAACGTCGTTGCCAAGCGACGAAAACCCAATCCCGATGGCAAACACCGGGGTGGGCGGGGGGGGGGGAGCGATTCGTCACGTTTTTGCCTCTAGGATGCAACCTACTGATGGTGCTGCTATGCCAGCAACAGTCGCGAGACAGCACTTGCCGATTTGGTCGGGTGTCGGGGAGCGCTACAACTACAACTACAACTACAACTACAACTAGTCACAATTGCAGCATGTGGGCATTACTGGTGTTCACTCCTACCCGAGCGAACGGATGTTGTGCGGACGCATGCAGGGAAGCACCGTAGCACTGCTGCGGTGTGCCGCTGCAGGGGGAAGGCTTGGCACCGACGCTGGTGCACTGACCACAGCAGTATGGAAATCACTGCCAATGTTCCCTGAAGACCTCCCATCGTGCCTAACCAAAGAGTACAGGTTGGGGTTCATGAACGTCCTTGAAACCGAAAAAAATCTTGAAAGAAACAAAACTCGATATCATTCTAGGGAAGCGAACTTACCTCTGACGGAGGTACGCCGCACGCCAGCATCGAGTGTCCCAAGAAAGCCAGCTGGCCGAGCTTGACGTCCAACTGCCGACTCGCCGCGTCTTCTCCAAAGCGCTGCGGTACGTTAGCAAGTCCGGGACATAGAGAGCGTACGGGAGCGTCAAACAAAAAACACGAAATGAAACGAATGCAAATAACAATCGTCGTAGCATGAGTCGGTAACAACTCAAGAGTACACATCGCAGCGGTTGTTCCACAACCTGGCGCGAAGACCTGCTCAGTTCCTTAATTTCCGCGCGGTCGGAAGCAATCAACCATGGCCCTCCTCACGTCTGGCCTACCGCGTACAAAAAAAAAAAGTGTACCCACTTATGCAAAATCACGGAGGGACAACCGCCCATTCATCTGCTTCTCAACAGCAGGAGCAACAAAGCCTCGGTGTATTACTACCTCTCGCATCGCAACAAAGCCTCGGTGTATTACTACCTCTCGCATCGCGTCCAGCGTGTCCCTTGTCAGCCACCGCTCTGCCCTCGCGCCCCCGCCCTCCATCGCCATCACCACCGAGTCGGACATGGACACCTCCCACAGCTCGATCGCGGCCCAGACAGGGTGCCTCCGGAGCTCCCTCAGCAGCAGATAACCCGCCGCTTCCTCGTCCGCATCCCCGGCACCCTCCCCGCCCGGAACATCCGCCGCCGGTGCCGCCGCCGCCGCCGCCGCCGCCGCCGCTGCCGACGCCTCGTCCAGCTTCCGCGCTGCGCTCACGAGCTCGTTGTCGGCCATGACCGCGGGGATGTTGTTGCCCCCGCCGCCGCCGCCGCTTTTCCCCTGCTGGCTCCCGTCTTGCTCCCTCAGCCAGGACACGTAGTTGCCGCCGTCGACGGCGAAGAGGCCGGCGGTGACTAGGCAGTTCCTCGCCTGCAGGAACTCGCGGTCGGAGGCGGCCTGGTCGAGGGAGGCTCGCAAGAGCCTCGCCAAGGCCACGAACGACGCCGGTTGGAGCCGGACCGGAGCGAACCCCCCAGGACCGCTGCCGCCGCCGGTGCTCCCGGACCCCGTTGTTGCTGAGGGTCCTTGATTGTCGCCGCTCGCGGTGGTGGTGGTCGATGCGCAAGCGTGCTGGCAGAGCGCTAGCAGCAGCCGGTTGCTGGAGGAAGGGGACCCGCTACAAGCCTGGTTTTTCGTTTAGGTCCCCGGGGGGGGAGGGCATGGAGTGGCGCACAGGAAAGGGTGTCAGAGAGGCAGGGAGGACGGCTGGAGATGACAGAGGGTGCATACAACGCCGCTAAGGCGACAGAAGGCGAGGGCGACCGGCGCGTACGGAGTTGGAGATCACCACAGCACAGACCAAGGCTGACAAAAAATGAAACAACACACAGCCGTCAGACCGATCAACAAGCTCGAACCGCCAGCATACGCTCGACCGCCCCAGCAAACGCCCACGACTCCAGGACCCACCCACAAGACACACACCTCTGCGGCAGCGTCCACCTGATCGGCCTTCATCGTTCTCCCCCCGCCCCCCGTCAACAACGCCTCCACCGCCCTCGCAACGGCCGCCGCGGGGTCGCCGCCGCGGTCGTCCCCCACGCCCGGCCCCTCACCACCCCCGCCGCTCTTCGCCTCCTCTTCCTCTCCGGCGACGAGAAGAAGCTCGCTGCCTCTCCTCTCCGTCGCCCCGGCCCCGTCCGCGCGCAGCGACTCGAGGACGTCGTCAGCGAGGGTGGCGGCGAACACGCTAGGGCGCCTGGATGCCAGGGCCAAGCACGGGGATACCGTTTCCGCCGCCGCCGCCGCCGCCGCCGACTTGCTGCCGTGACTACTCTTGCTCTTGCTGCTGCTGCTGCTGCTGCTGCTGCTGCTGCTGCTGCTGCGTTCAGTGCTTGTTTTCGCGGTGGCGGTAGCAGCGGCAGCGGTCGGTGGGTCAGCGGCTGAAGGACTGCCCTCCCGTTGGGGATCCACGGCTGCGGACGGCGGTTGCGAGTCCTCCTCCGATACTGGCGCTGGCGCTGGTGCTGGTGCTGGTGCTGGTGCTGGTGCTTGTGTTGCAGCTGTTGGTGGTGCAGCTGCTGGTGTTACAGCGACCAGTGTTGCAGCTTCTGGTGTTGCAGCTGCTAGTGTTGCAGCGACTGGTGTTGCCGCTGGCATTGCCGCTGGCGTCTCCTCCACCGCTGCCTTGGCCGGGGGTTCGGAGCTGGGCTCTTGGTCTATTTGGGGGGTGCTGCTGTCCGCGGCGGTGAACGCGGCAACGGCGTCGGCAAACGCCGCGGCCACCCCCCCGATAACGCCCCCATCTAACCCCTCTCTGCTGCTGCTGCTGCTGCTGCTGCTGCTGCTGCTGGGCTTGTTGCTAACAACGCCGTCGGAAGATGATGCCGCCTTCTCGGCGTTTGCTCCACTGGAACTAGCGCTATCGCCACTGTCATCTGCTGCAGGTACTGCTGCAGCAGGTGCTGCTGCAGGGCTTTCCGCGGTGTCGCCCGTGTTCTCGCCATTACCACCGCTGGGACCGGCTACATTGCTACTATTGCTGCCTTCGGGTGCGTTTGCCCCGTCCGCCGCTCCCCCCCGCTGCTCACTGGCAGCAGCAGCACCACCAGCACCGGCATCAGGACAAGGAATCGGCGGCTGAGAAACACGACCCTCAGCATCTCCTCTTTCGCCGCTGCCACTACCACCATCACCAAGCCCGGCGTCCGATGCGCCGGCCAGGAGGTCCTTGTAGTTCTTGGCGTGCCGGGCCTGGGCGGCAAACCCGAGGACTTCGTACACGCTAGCCGCCGGCGTTACCACGGGGTAGTGGGAGGAGAGCTTGGCCAGCGCTGCGTCCATCTTGGCGTCCATGGCCGCGGCGCCGCGGGCTCCGCCGGCGAGCGTAGGCGCACCCAGAGCCTGTTTCAACAAAAAGTATGCACCACAGGGAGCGCAGGGCGGGGGGGGGGGGGGGGGGGGGGGCCCCCCTTTTGGTGGCCCCCCGGGGGAAAATTTTTAAAAACCCCCCCCCAAAAAACGGAAAAAGGGGGGGGGGGGAACCAAAAAGGGGGGGGGAAATCAAAAGAAAAAAAAACCCCCCTCCCGGGGGGGGGGGAAACGGGGAAAAAAAAAAAAGGAAACCCCCAAAAAAAACCCGGGAAATCCGATCCGGG